CCTATCCCCGTGGATTATTTCACTCCACCGAGATAAGTTGCCCTCCCTCTTTATAATTTAAAATCCTCTTTCTCATTCGCGTATATTTCCCCCGCACACGAGCCGTTTGTACTTTTTTTCTCCCTCCACCCCCTGGCCCTTATTTAACGCCTTTTGCAGGAAAGTTCTCCCTCCTGCAAAGTTTTTTCCGGTTCATCCCCGGCAAAGAGCTCCACGGTATCCCGAATGGAAAAAAAAAAAATCTTTTTAATCTCCTCTTTCGAAATGGCCTTTCTTTTTTTGGCGTGTTTTTTGGTTTTTCTCTACCCAACGCCCCTCCGTTCTTGCACCTCGTCTGGATTACGCTGAGCCGGATACCGTGTGGCGAGACAACGGTATTTCCTCGAACCGAGTTAAGGATAGGCCGGAGGAGGAAAAGAAAAACAAGCTTGGTATTTCGAGATCCTTTTTACGAGCTGTACGAAGAGAGACCTCCTCCTCCTCTACTATTTACTGCCGGTGCATTCAATGCCGAGGCGAAATCTCCGCGCTCATGTTCATCGGTGCGACTTTATAGTTCTCGGGGAAAGACGAGATTCCCCCTTCAACGCGAGACGTGCAATTTTATTATTTTCGGCTCCCCTTGCGTGGTGTGGACAAAAAAAAAAAAGAATTTCCCTTCTTCGAATTGAAGGGGGTCGAACGCGATCTATAATCCGCGAATAATGACGGACTACCTGCGTCGGCATTATTTCCTCCCTGCTCGTCCGAAGATGAAAAATCTCATTTCCCACCGAGTGGAGCAAAAACAAAGAAAAAACAAGCCAGCCAGTCGATGGTTAATTCCGCCGGGTCAGCAGCGAGGAGTACACAGTAGGAACGATTAATGAGATTTCTTGGAAAGTGATTAAACTTTTTTATTTTCGATGCCATCACCTTTGGCAAACTATTTACAACGGAAGTTTCGCGGCAGCTGATCACGCGTAATTTAATAACCCCCCCCCCCCTGCCTTTGCGGTTAACTTTGTCTTCTTCACTTTTTTCTTTTTTTCTTTTTTTAATCTCGCACTGGTGCTTTTTAATTTTCTGCGTGCCCGTCGCCGTGAACTTTGCACGTCTCAACTTTGCGTCGTTTCGTACGTGCAGGGAGACCTCAGCAGTGTCTCGCTGAGGTAATTTCTCATCGGATCAGAAAAGTAATTTTTTTTTTCTTCTTCTTCTCTTTTCCCCTCCGTAATATAGTTTGAGCGAGTGTTTTTTCGCGGCATTTTCAAATCCCCGGTGGCCCCGGGTAAACCGGCTCGGGGAGCAATTAAGCCCCCTTCTCGCGCAGGTGGCCGCAATATACACTCACGCGCGACTCATGATTATACGCGGTCGCGGACATTTTCCGGCCCACCGAATCGATTTTCATTTATTAGCATTACGAGATTTAATCGCGACGTAATATATAATATATGCGCGACCTCTCGCGAAACCCACCACCGAAACGGAAATAGAGCACCACGCGTACGGAGGGGGGGGGGGTGAGAACGAAAAGAAGAGGCGCGACTAGACCTATAACTACATAGCGAGGGGGCGTAAGCCGTATACTTACGACGCGGCGTTTATTAAAGGAGACATATATATGTATACATACGTGGGTATCCTCTCCCCTCATGAGAAAGGAAGTTCCTCACAGCTCTCGAAATAACTTTCGAAAAATAGTTTTCCGCCGTTTATAATCCCCCCCGCGCGGGGGTTACAGCTAATCCGGTCGCGGTGAGCTTGAAAATGGAGGCCCCCCCAGACTCGGCGAAACTCGTACAACAGTCTCGGCTCCCTCCCTCGCGGAATCCGACGATGGGATCCCCGCCCCTCCCGCGAGATGAATTTCGTTCTCCCGTGAATTGTCACTGTTGCTCGTTTAGAATGTAACGTGCGCGTATTGGAGGGAAAACGTGTATACGCATGCGCTTCGATATCCCAGGGGTGGTTTTTCGCGTTCGTCACGCGTTTCGGGATGATTTACGCCAGAGTGCCGTAACAACAACCACTCCGGGCCACTCCGCAGCGTCTTCCTGGCGGGAGTTCAATTTTCTTGTTCTCAAATGTGTGTATGGGCGCTGGGGGAGTCTCCCCCTCCGTACTCGGCGTTCTGGTATATATAGAGAAGACGTATATATAGCGCGTCGTCCATCACTCATATTGTATGTAAGAACGGGGTGTATTTATTAGAACCGAGTATACTGGGATGTAGAAAGGAGCAGGAGGAGGAAGAAAAACCACTTTAACAAATATCAGCCAATTAACGGCACGCGCGGGGAAACGTGAAATCAGCCAAGTATAGGTATAGGGGCAGGTTGGAACGGGAGCAAAACAACTAACAGTGGAGCACCGGCAGAAACAGCGGACCGCGCGAGTCGTGTAGGGGAGGAGGGGTAACCTTTGGCCATACGGAAGTGGGCAATGCGTTACAAGTGGAGAGGCAGAGGTGGGGCCGAGGCTGGTCCGGTGCCTTAAATAAAAGCTCGGCCGTGGCTGATTTTGCGTTTAACGGTCGCTCGCTTGAAAGCTCGGCAGAGTGGCACAACGATGTGATCAAAGCTTTTATCGGATTCCTCTGTTACAATCGTTTGGACGGTTCTCGATGGGGAGTTGGCGAATTTGCCGTTGAAATGGAAACCTTGTGATCCATACGGTGATCAATGAATGTTACACGGCCTTTACATGCGTGGATATAATTATACATGATGAAAACTGATCGAGTGACAACCTTATGTGAATGAAAAAATAAAAATACCCTTTATCATCTTTACGGAGGAGTAAAAAAAAAAGAAATCCAATCAAGGGTTCTTTTGGATGATAGCGGCTAGTCGGAGACCAGAAGCACGAGCTCTCCTGAAGCAGAAATGGGCAATCGGACGCTCGTAAAGTCGTGCCAAACGAACGGCTCGCCAGCGTCGATAAATCCAAAGCTCGCGCTCGCGTGGGTTGCAGCCTCTGCTCGCGTTTGATTTAGGATATATATACTTGCCGGCGCGAGTTTGATTTTTCGCCTCTGGTGCAGTGGATCTGATAAAACTGTGTCTTTGTGCACTATGGGGCTACCCGAGGGTGTGGATCAGCTTTTCTTGTTTGTTTCTTTGATTGCGTTCGTACTATGACGTTGAGAAATTGCTGCGAAAAACTTTTAATGACCGTCAAGGAAAATGGGAGAGCTAAAAAAAAAAAAAAAATTAAATAAATGAAGAACAAAATAGAGAGAGAAACGAGCACTGTTTGAGATTATTTGAATCCATTTGTTGTATGCTCTGTGCAATTTAGGTACAATTTGTTTCGATTTCAAGTGTCTATAGTCCATGATATAAGCCACGAGAAACCACGTGCTCGCAAATAAACAAAAAATCAATTGTCCCAGTTTTTCACAGGTTCCTCGAGTTGTTGTTATCATTATTTTTTTTGTTTCTCCATTCACCAAGCAAATGCGTCGTCGAATAAAAAATGCGGCCTCAAAGCGACTCCGAGAATAAAGTTTCCCTAAATAAAAAGTCGCTCAAACGCTCATACAGAGAGAGTTTCGTCCGACCCCATCGCAGCGAGCCTTACCTCTCGAAGGAAAGTTTTCGGGCTCGAGAAAAAAGAACTAGCGGCCCTTTCCGCGCGCACACCCCCTCGTGCACATAGACTCTCGCGTATCAGTTCCCTAGCAGCACTGGGTTGGGGTAACGGGGGAAGCTTCCAGCGAGGAGCGAATAAATAAATTCGTCGGATGAAAAGTAAGCCCCCGGCGCGATGCATCACTGTAGCTCCTCGCTCCTGGCTACCGCTACTGCGTTTGTCACGTGTGTGCATACACTCCCTTTTACGTGTACGCGTGTGTACACTCGGGCCCGCCCACACTCGCCCCACCGCCTGTACTTTATCGCGGGGGCTGCTCTTTCTTTTTTCCAACCGCGTTTTTGACTCTTGCGCGCTTCCATACCAGTAGTGGTGATAGTAGTTGAAACAAAGGGTGGGGGAGCGAATTTGCTAGCTAGCCCTGCTGCCGCGAGATATTGTGCAGTAGGCCAGCGTTTTTCACCCCTCTCTCTCTCTCTCTCTCTGTCCCTTTTCTTTTTTTTTTATTCTTACGGCGTGTACGCGTGTGTGATTTTACGCGCGCACGTGTGTTAGATAATGACGATGTATGGTCAAAGCGCTCGTACGGAATTTTTTTGCGAGTGCTTTTCAAACCCCCGCGCGAGAAATATTATTGCCCGCGTTTTAAAAATATGGAAATAAGCAGTATATAGAAATGTGCTTGGTGAAATACGTCCGGAGCGTGCGAGTGCTCGTGTCGATGCTGGATCGTGCCTTCCAACGGAGGAGGTATACACATATTTGCACCGAACGAAATCCAACGTAAATAATCGTTTTTTTTTTTTTCTTTGACTATTCAGCGTACAATTTAACCTTCTTCTACGGACAAATCAACGTATAAGCGTATATGTTGAACCACAGTGCACACCTATATTCAACGTGATGAAGCGTGAAAACGGTCGCTTTTTTTTTTTTGTGGCTCCAAAACCCCAACAATTATCCCCGCGCTGCTCGCATCCGTCCATGTCCATCGCAAAGCTTTCCGGCGAACATTATATCGAGATATACTTTGGTAAGCCGGAGGATGAGTATCGAGCAAAGTTGCTGGCAACACATACGCGGGGCTAAACGGTGCCCCACCTCGCCTCTCGAGTTGCGGCTCGCTTTGCCAGAACTGCACGGATTCGTGCTTCGGCGTTTCAGTGCCACTACACGGAGGGCTTCTCTGGGTCTATACCTTGCAGGGTCTCGGATTAAAATTCCCTCGCTTTCGCTGAATGAGTCATCAGTCGCCGGCAGTCGTTTGGGCGTGCTCGAAATTTCGAGGTGCGTGCTTTGGGGTCAAAGCAAAACTGAAAATGCTGAGTCAAAGGCAAGTGGGATGAGAGTTTGAAAAAAAAATATAAAAACAATGATAAGCATGTGAAAGTACCAAAAAAAAAAGAGTGTGTTTTACTCACTTTTTTTACGGCAGTGCGCGTACAAATGTATACGTCAGAGTCCTGAAACAAAAATAAACAACGAGGCATCGTTAACGAATATTTTCTTACAACTTGCCCAAAAATGATGGGCCAAAGTAATGAAAACTTGCGCGTTTCTCATCAGTCGGCGCGCGTCCCTCGTAAATACGAGTCGTGTGCCCACAAAGTGGCCGAAAAACTTGGCGTCTCGGTCGTAAAGAATACGCGTTCGGGGAACCCAAAGCGTCCCCATTAAAAAGTTTTCGAATACAATTTTCGACGATAAGTCACACCCGCCCTCGCAGGTACTCTGTTTTACGTTCCAAACGACAATAATCCCTCCAATTTTCTTGCCGCGCTCTCCGCCTCGATAAATCAAAAACTCCCAAGGAGACGAGGTCGAAAAAAGGGCACGCGCCTCGTACGTGCATTCATCCCTTTCCCCGATACACCGATATCGCGACAGGGAGGGCACGCCCGCTTTTTTTTTACTCCGCGCACACATTACCCGTATCGACCATTCCTTTTCCGTTCCCCGTCCCGGTCGAAGCGGGGAAAAAGGTATGCGCGCTTTTCTCCCTCCGCCACGCCTTCTTTCGCCACGTTTGCTTCATCTTTCGCTCGTCTCGACCGATGATGAAGTACATCGGACAAAAGAAACAATGGGTCCCAATAACCCGAAAAATTTCAGGACCACAACGGCTCGGTGCAGTGCAAGAGGAACTCGTCCCATCGAGGGCGCTGACGATGATTTTTCCGGTGAAGATCAATGATGCAAATGAATTTCCTCGGTAACCGAGTCGGGGAGGAGTCGGACCCGCGGGAGTGTTACAAGGGGGACCCAATCATTCATTTGACGGATGGGCTTATCGACGAGAATGGGGCGGGTTCGAGCATTGACGCTTCGACGAAGGTATATGCTGATTATACATATCCCCTTCCGGATGACGATGGTCGCTCATTTGCATACAAGGGCCAGGTGCACTGTCTCTCATTTTCGATCCGATTGCGGCCGAATGGGATCATGCTACACAAAAAAGGAACCCATACGTTAGCTGTGAAATTTTCTTTTTTTTTTTTTTTTTAATTAACACAACCTAGCCCACCGAATGTTCGTTCGCTCCCTCGTTTGTTCTCCAGCAAATGAACGCAGCTACACACGTGCATTCTTTGATTCTTCGCGTTGTTTTCCTGCACAAACGGGAGAGCATCGGCCAAGATAGTCTTTGGAGCCGAGGAAAGGTAGAAAGAAAAGAAATTTCTTTGATCGTCTTTGGAATAATGATCTCGGGGCAAGCTAGGGGGGGGAGGTCGAGTAATTGAAAGCTCGAGCGCGCACGGTATACACCGGCCTGATTGCGAAATGGCATGCGGGCGGGTGGTTCCTATGTTTATTTCTTACCCTCTCTTTTCTTTCCTCTCGGCAGAGCCATCGCCCACGACCGTATACCCCACCTTCGAGCAGAGAACAGCATGCAATTTCCACTTGTTTCCCCGCCACGTATCCTGTACTTCTCGCAGCCGGTACTTTTGCATCCTGCGGTTACATGGTTAAGAGCTCTCGGGAACAACACGGAAAGCGCGTATACATCGACGATCGAAAGTTTGGCAACTCGCTCGCCGATACAAGCTAATCGCGCGAAACAACCCCATCACGCGTACAATAAACTCATTGGGCATGTCATCGATCCTCCCTCTTCCAGCCCCCGTGGCCGCCCGGCGATGTACAGGTACACATCTGTATTTGTGGGGTCCGATCGAACGCTGACTCGTACTACTGCGGTCGGCGACTCTTTGCCACCTCCGCAGAGCGCGCTCTCGCGGTTATGACGGTTGCCCGTGTGGCCCTATGAATATTCACGGGACTGAAAATACTCGGGTAATCGATCGCCATGGGGATATTTCGCGTAGAAAACCAATGACGGCGTGGCTGGAGTTTGGGTTAAAAAAAAAAAAGCGAGTCCCACAGTCCAGCATTCGTCATCGTTGTATTACCTCGGCACCCGATGAAAAATGATCCTCGGAACGACCGTAGCCCTGCCATTCTCTCCACCAAGGGTAGTAGAGCTAATCCATAAGATTAACGACCGAAGCAACAGATTGAGCGGTGGATATCGATCGGCCCAAGCCCTAAAACACACCCACCAACCTACCCGATGATGATCTACATTGCAGCGAGTCATCTTCCCTCGCTTTTGTGACGCGGACACGTCTGTACATGCGGGAGAATGGGCGAAACCATCGGAGCTTCTCCACGCGCGATTTCCTTTCAAGCTCGAGTGGTCGCTCGAAAACCTGGAATTTCACGAATCCCGAAGGGTGGAAGCACCGCGGTCTCCACGCGCGTTGTCGAGCGCTCTGTCAATGCTTTTAAGAACTTGTGTGCGGTATCACATCCGCGTGTGCGTGAATGCATGAAAGTACAATGTACAGGAAAAAAGGAGGAAAAGGGGGGGTCGCTCGATGTAAAATCACCAAAAGCACCCGAGCCTACGGGCGCTAGATTGCCCGTGCAGACCCCAGCTGGGCGAGGAACGCGTCAGCTGCGCTAATTAAGAGGGCGTTTACACGAGCTCGACCGATGGTGGTTCAGCTGTTTACGGTTTAGCGATGTTCATCATCGCTGCAGGGGACGGAAAAAATACGGGATGCAATCAGAGGGCCATCCACAGTGGGGCTTGTTGCGGAATCTTTGGCTCCCAATGGCGGTGCTGGTGTTTATCTCCCGCGCCATGAAACGACAGCTGCTGGGTGTATTTGCGTGAGCGCCGAAGTTACAGGTGTGCGGCGTCACATTTAGGTGGACGGATTTCAATGGCGGGGTCACACGAAGCGGTGGAAAATTTTCGAACAGAGGAGTGGGTGGGTTTTTAGGTATATATTACTGTTGTGGTGGTTTGATTTGTGCCGCGGTGTAATTTTCGTGTTTTCAATTTCGACCGTTAATTTTCAGTCGATAAAAATTTTGCGGCTTTGTAGCAAACGAAAAGTTTTGATTGAATGCAATTTTCCCGCTTCCCCGTGATGAAACTTCGACACAGGGGCTGTTTGTGCACGAATCGAGGGAGTTTACAAAAATTATCAACGAGCGCTCGCGGCTTCAACTTTGTCGGTTGTTAAAAGTTTCGAGTAGCTTTTCATATTTTTTTACGAAACATCTTTTTTTTTTTTTTTTCATAACTTTGGTAGTATCATCGAATCGGTAACGAAAAATTCTCCGAATCTCGTAAAAGATTCACGAGCATCTTTCGTGAAGTTCTTCCATTGTATATTACGTGTATCGAATACTTCGTCGACATGTAAGTGGTGTAACTTGATAGCATCGAGGGAATTTCCAGATCACAAAACTCAAAGATACGGGAACGAGACTTTCTACGCGCAGGCAGGCATTAGGTGTTTTACTGGAAAAAAAAAAAAAAANGGGGGGGGGGAGATAGGGTGGATGGAGCCCAAGAAGAGCACTTTATCTTCCTGACCGTGAAGAGATTGGTGAATCAAATCGTCCGACAGATTTATCCCTCGTTTACTCTAATTTTTCTCTTTTTCTTCCTACGTGAAAAAAAAAAAAAAAAAAAAAATCATTTAAATGATCCGTTCCAGCCATATAGAAAAATTACACGTAAGTTACGGTCAATTGTTTTTTCCACCGTTGCAGTTGAGATCGCCAGGATCTCGCAAGACCGAGAGGAATATTGAAATTCCATCACGAATCCCGGGCACACGCCGATTGGCGGAATTTCAATTTCGATCCCCCTCCCGCATGGGCGCACAAACAATAAATATCAACAACGGACAACGATGGAAATTTCCAAATTTGCACGACCGTCGCCAATTAACCCAAACAAAGACACCCCGTCCGTAGCACTCGAAAAGCAATCAATCCGGCCGAGATGGACTCCTTATCCCTTGGCACCCGCGCTTAATTAAACCCGTTAATTTCTATTGTAATCGAGAGAGAGAGAGATGATCGAGCTATGGATTTCGAGAAGGTATAATTTATCACCTCCCGGCACAACAGACCCTACACGGTATATGATGGTAAGGTGTCACCCGTACGTATACAAACGAGACAGTTCAACGCTCGGTTCGTCGATTCGCATACAAGAGAGTAAGTACAGACCAGCAACTTTCGAGAGGGGGGAGAAGAGACTCGCGACCCAACTACCGCCACACCCAGTCGATATTCAACTCCAGAGAGCCTCCGGTTGTTTTTTTGTTTCTTCGAGGAGCTCCTCCTTCCTCTTCATCTAAGCTGATTGCAGGCGTGCACGTATACTGTGTTCCAGCCGAGGGAAAAGTACCTTTCACCCCAAAGCCCGACGTAATTCATGGACTGCGTAGGCTCGCTGTACACCAACCGCCCCTCCCCCGCTGCGCCGTTATTACGTGCATTTGCTCTCTCCTACTGTGGTTGGCGCATCTCTAACTTTTCGCTACTGCTATTACGTGCTCTGTCAATCTTTGATTGTATCGCAGGTCCATGGGGCTGTGCGGAGATATCTTCACCCTGCGAGCATATTTGCTCGATTATGCCAAATTAAGGTTTTATACCTACCCACAGGTTTTTTCGAATCCCAAAGCTCTACGCCATCGGATCGAGTCACGTGTGCAACTGATTCGTGCATGGAAGCGGACAAAGTTTCGGGCAGGAGACACCGCGCCTGAGTAACAGAGAGAGAGAGAGAGACAGTAGCCGGAGTCGGGAAATCGGAGTGCAGCCCAACTTCCGCCACTCGGTCCCTCGGCTTGATGAATTTATCATTTCGAGACTTGGCGAGTGCTTAACTCATTTGGCGCGCCCACGAATCTTCCCCCTTCCCAAGGAGGCAGGATTTACGAGGCAGCAGTGCCGGTGGCTCGCCAAGACTGATTAGCTTTCCCCGTTCCTCGGTCAGGGCACGCGTGTTTTACCTGCTCGCTCGAGTATACACGCTGGCTCGGACTCTCGTGCCCAACACTATAGCGCCAATGCGGTGTGTTTTAATTGTTACTTTTGCTCGACGATACCTCCGTGCATTTCCGTTTGGTTTGGTCAGCGCGCG